CATCATTAAAAGCCTGAAAGGACTGGAAGGTGATCGTTTCGTTCTAGTATGGGACACTTCATTCAGTGGTGCTCATCTACAACCTCTGCTCGTGGAAACTGAATACAGAACATTCAGTCTTGCGTGCGATCACTTATCTTATAGACCATTGAACCTTCATCTAACGGTGTTAATGTCTAATTTTACACAATCCACGATATTACTCGGCCTTACTCATTGTTTTCAATGAGTAACTGCCTCAGACCCGACTTCTTACTAGAACTCGGAGAACCTACTCTTCACTGAGCTAATCGCTAGTCAATACATGATTTTTTGGTTTCTCATTAGCTCATACAGAAATGTCATCCTTTCCCTAAAGAATGAGTTGACAAAACGATATGTCGTTTAGACAGTTCTTTGTCACTCAAATACACACACACACACACACTGTTAAACAAGGAATGTTAAGTTATTCAAATAGTTTATTGATTGACTGAATTAATCGAATAGGAGGTAGTATAAAAACAGTTTCGTTTCATGTTCAGTGTACTAAATATAATTTAAGATTACTTAAATTACGAAAAGATCAACAATAGACCATCATTAAAAACCCAGAAGCACTGGACAGCTGTTTCTTGTTAGTATAGAACTCATCGGCAGTGCGTATTGACGACCTCGGCATATGGTAATTGAACTTAGGACCTGCGAGTAAGCAATGCTGTTGTTAGGAAATGAGTACTAGGTGAATATGGCAGGTCAATAGATGAGGTATTGAAACTTTATCAGTTAAGGTGGTTGAGACATGTGTTACGTATGCCTAACCACCGACTGCCTCGATGAGCTATGTTTTGTGGTGTAGGTGTAGATTGGAAGAAAGTTATGGGCGACTAGACCAAAACATGGCAGAAATCCATGAAGTCACTGAGGACAATTGGACTGAGTCATGTTGGTAGATGTAGTCTACCTGGTTGGGGTCCGCGAGACGAAAGTCGCCAATCGTTAGAGCCCTTGAACGACATGGCTCAAAATCGTTTGCAATGGCGCAAGTGCATCCATTCGCTGTGCTCTCTCAACTCCTAATCTTCTGGAATCGTCAGCACCTCTAACTTTGTCTTTCTAACTTTATCTCACTGAATTATACTTCTTGAATAATATCTTCAAACCCTAGTCTTCTTCATTACCATTAATACCTCTACTATATTTATCACTATGTGATTTGATTTGATGTTTGAGTCTCTATGCTAATGTGGTATGGCAACCTGAACTTATGTACATTCGTACAAAGTTCAACGTTGCAACTGACTGACTGACTGACTGAACCTAGGACATTCACTCTTATGCTCGAAGGATTAACCTTTACACCAATAAGTCGGAATCGAACGGTTTTTGATGTCTAACTTAAAATCAATCAACAAAAATTATACCACCTTACCGATTGTCTTCTGTAGGCAACTATCTCCCTGCGACACAGCTGAACTCCACTAGTTATTGCTGTTCATCAGAATTCCAAGAATTTCTTTACAAATCTAGTCACTTGCGAACAAATTTTAACGATTTCCTCTAAAAGGTTATAGAGATTGTTTATTTAACAATGATCGATTGATGATTTCAATAAAATCCAACAATCTTTATCAACCTTTTACATAAAAATATTTACAATTAATTTAAACTATTCAACAGATATTGATCATAGCCTTCAATCAAGACAAACCAAATTTTCCCAAATGAATCCAACACATAATATTAAATCATATTGAAACACTTAGAAAGAAGTGAAAATAAGACTATTGTTTTTTTTTTTTTATTTCATATTAGCTCATAAATAAATGTCATCAATTTATATATATATATTTTCCTATTCTTCTTCTTTATTATTGTATAAAGAGGAGGGGGGGGAAAGAAACTGTTTTCTCTTTTTCTATTGATAGATTGAACATCTGTTTCAAACTTCTACTTCTTTTAAACTAAACAGAAAAAAAAACATTCATCAACAGCTGCATTAAAGTGAATGTTAATTCAGTGTTAGCTGTGAATAGATTTCACCATAATAATCATAATAAATATTAGTGAATAATAAATATTGTTAACTTTATCAAGGCTGACTCATCATTTCTTGAATGGTTATTGATTTTATTTTTTCTGTGAATTTAAAAAAAAATAGATTTCTGTGACATTTATATACATATTGATAAATGTATCATGTAAAATAATGTTGGGGGGATGTTAGATCCCTCAGAACTCGTTTGATAAATGCCTTGATTTTGAATTTCATGTTAGCGAGCATGGACTGATCAGTTGGTGACCTTGAGATTTCATTATCCAACAGGAAAATCCAGTGCTGTGATTGGCTGCTGTGTGTATTTTAGTGTGCTATTTTCATAAACGAGAGTTGTGTGCTTGATTGTATTGTGTTCTTGCTGGGTGTTTGTAGAATATACCTTTCTACGCTTATCAAGACTTCTGTTTTGCCGTTTTTTGGATCAAGGTAGCCTACCTGGACGCTAGTTCATTGTCTGGTTCACGTTTATTGACTAAGGTGAACCCGTAATATAGAGTTTCAAGCGTACCTAATGACGAACTTAACAAATAATTTTGATGAAGTTTCATTCTGTCTGAGCTGGATGTTTTTGATTGTGAAGCTTTCGGTGTTCTTCTTCTGAACAATGTAATCAGCACAAACTTCAGGTAAAAGTGAAGCATTTAGATTTCTTCACAAATCAAAGGGGTATGTAATCAAAATAAAGGTGCGAACAACGACGACAGGTTTAAGATCAATACACAATCAATCAAGATAGAAGTTAACAGAATAAGTTACGAGTTATATATGAAGTAATCCTAATCCTTATGTTGTTGAGAAGAATAACAATGAAAGCTTCATAATCAAAATATCCAGCTCAAAGAGAACGAAACACTATCATAATTATCCACCTGAGTTACAAATTTTCTCTGCCATCTCAGTATCATGTAATCGTAAGCAGTGAACGCATACATTTTTATCTTGAACTGATTTGTACAAATAAACTTTTTTAAAAAATCAATTATATAAATAATTTAAATAGTCAAAGTATAGTACTAGAGGAGGTGATAGTCGGAATCAATAAAATGCACTGTAGGTTTTGTTAGCTAAACTCAAAACAAATGAAAGAATTTCATGGTATAAGGACGAGCCAATCAGAAGGAAGAATATGACTTATATGCTTTTGAACGAAAGTTCACACAGCGTGTATCTAACTTCAGTCTTTAGTTAGTTTGCATTCAGCTAGGAGGTACCTTGTATGCTAAGGGTTATCTGTGAAGCAGCGTATGACATCGTTATCTAGAAGAGGAAAGAACAATGATTCAATAAGCACACAGAATACACTTCTATTTAATAGAGAAATCAATAGAAAGAATCGAAACTAAAAGTTGTGAGAGTATGGTTATTAAATATGTACCATGTGTGACGGTACAGTTAAAATATCTTTGTATACTTTTCAAATTGTTAAAAATGATAATAAAACAAAAATCATTGATTTTAGTCACAAAGAGTTGAGAGATTAATGTTGAATGTATCACTAAAAAAAACTTGTTGCAGTTGTTTTCAAGCTAATCCCTAGACTATATATACTCTAATCAGTTTTATCTTTTGTGATGATTAGCGAGTAGTAGATATGCCATTTTATTACTTAATTACTTACGCCTGTTACCACCCCTAATGGAGCATAGGCCGCCAACTAGTTTTCTTCAACCAACACTGTTCTGGGCTTCCGTCTCCAGTTCTGTCCATTTTTTTGTTCATTCCTCTCATATCTTTCTCTAATTCTCAGTCTAATGTGTTTTTTGGCCTTCCTCTTTTCCTTTTGCCTTGAGGGTTCCATGTGAGGGCTTGTCTGTTGATGTAGTTAGGTGCTTTCCGCAATGTGTATCCTATCCACCAACTCCACCGCTTCTTCCTGATTTTCTCCTCTACTGGAATCTGGTTTTGTTCTCTCCCACAGTAGGTTGTTGCTGATCGTGTCTGGCCAACGAATCCGAAGTATTTTGTATAGACAACTGTTACTAAACACTTGTATCTTGTAGATGATGGCTTTGGTAGTTTTCCAAGTTTCCAACCCCTATAGTAGAAATATCTTGACATTTGTGTTGAAAATTGTGACTTTAGTGTTGGTTGAAAGTATGCCATTTTTTTTAATGCCTGAAAAGTGTAAACTGTTAGTGAGAGATTATTTTCTGCCGTTAAAAAATAAAAATGATGGTTTCAAGCTTACTGGATGCTCATGTATTCATTCTCATTTACACACACACAAATCAACTACAACCTGTTATCTTAGATTTAAATCTGTTACGATCGTACGCCACCACGTTAATTTGATATGCTTGAACTATGACGAGTTCATCTTACTCGGTAAACGAGACCTAAGACAAACGATCCAGTGACACGACAATCTACTCTAATCCGTTACTCCTTCTAAACTGAAGAAAAAAAGTCTTGATATGGCGTAGAAAGTGTATTCTAAAAGCATCCAGGGAAATGAAGTCCGAGTGCAAAAGAGGATTAGGACCCCTGGCTAAGGATCCAGATTATAAAACTTTACAAACAATGCATATTTATACAGTTAGGTGACATTGATAGTGAGGACAAACCAATAGGAATCAACCAATAAGAATTGACCAATAGAATTAAACTTACAAAAAATAATTCTCTTAGGATATTTGATGAATATTCTAACTCAATTCCTACTATACAACAGGGAAAATTTGTGAACTGCTATGCAATTATATTTTTATCCCTAGTAAAAGACCAATACATGAAATGATGATGACAATCTGTCGAAGAGAATTCTTTAACACTTTATGTAAATTGTCGTCTCAGTATATCTGTCTCGTAGAAAAATTTCCCACTAAATAAAAAAAATATCCAGCAGTCATATTTTTTTTTCAGAAAAAATTAATGTCTTTACAATCAAAAATGTAGATTGTGTGGGACATATTGAGATATTTTTAATAGTCTTCACTTACAATTCCCTATTGTATTCAAACATTTATTCTTGGCATAACCGATTACTCTTATTATTATTATTATTATTATTATTATTATTATTGGTAGTAGTGGTAGTAGTAGTAGTAGTAGTAGTAGTAGTAGTAGTAGTAGTAGTAGTAGTAGTAGTAGTAATAGTAGTAGTAGTAGTAGTAGTAGTAGTAGTAGTAGTAGTAGTAATAGTAGTAGTAGTAGTAGTAGTAGTAGTAGTAGTAGTAGTAGTAGTAGTAGTAGTAGTAGTAGTAGTAGTAGTATTAGCAGTATTAATAGTAGTAAATCGATCTACCATGTATATCATACTCATCACATGACTTCAAAAAAAAAATTAATATCAAATCCAATCCAATGAGAGAATGTTGTCACATGAGATAGCTAAAAGATATTCCCCTCCCTCATTAATCGTTTGGTCAGTCCACCATATTTATGAATAACTATTTTTATTCCCCAATGGCATCGATTGAATTGTTTTTCTTTTAAATTCATAACCTAAGGATATCACATCACCACCAATCACAACCAAACTGACCACAATAAGCAAAATACTTTTAGCTCTAGTGTTTGGAAGCTTTTCCTTCAGTATTAATAAAAATGATCACTACTCAAATGTAATCAAATGGTATTTTCTCATTTTTTTGAAGATAAAATACAAGTGTTTCAAATTTGACAGTCATATGATATGTTGAGTTTCTTGTTCATTTAATAAATTGTATTTTTCGTTTTCTTTGTTTACATAAAATTAAGTTTTCAATTAGAGTGAGTTATGGAGATTAGTGTTTGTACACATTTGAAATCAGCAATTAATCATTGTTACTGGACCACAATTAGAAACCTGGAAGCACTGAAAGACGGCCATTTCGTCCTGGTATGGGACTACTCATCAGTGGCAGCGCGCATCCACGACTCCTGCACCTCGCTCAGGATTCGGACCCGGGACGTACGGTATTGTGCGCGAACGCCTAACCATTGGAGTTCTATTGAGAAGACGTGATGAGTGAAGTTCAACCCTGTCGGGTGTAAGCAGTAACTACCGAAGGCAAGTGGATGAGGTTGCGCAAAATCCCTAGATCAATCAGAGTTAGACATTAACACCATTGAATGCCGGCTCAGTGGTCCAGAGATTAGGCGTTCTCGCACAATAACGAAGGTCCTGGGTTCGAAGCCTGCGAGTTGCAGGAGTCGTGGTTGCGCACTCCCACTGATGAGTCCCATACCAGGACGAAACGGCCGTCTTTCAGTGCTTCCAGGTTTCTAATGGTGGTGGTCTAACAATAATTGATCGATGATGTCAAACAGGTATAAATTTAAGTATTAGGAAATGCATTTTGTTTTGTGTGTAGTTCTGTATAATTCTATGAAATAAAAATTTGACAACCTTTTACTTTTAAAAAATATTCCATCTTTTCTTTCATATATGTTCAATAAGATCTACAGAATGCACTTGGAAAGCGTCCTAATTTGGTAATTTAGTTCTGAAATTTTGAATTTCTATGTTTTCGCGGCAGTTGACTCTTCAGCTCACATTTCCCCCTCGGAAAATCTTTGTCTGTCATTGGTTGATGAATTATTTTAGTAAGCTATTTTTGTGGTTCTACCAAGGGTGTTTCTATCATTGTATAAATAAACTCGATTTGTTTGCTTGTCAACCTCGTAATTCTGGGTGCTTGTAGAATACGCTTTGTATGCCTTGATATAGTTAGTCTGGCCGTGCAGAAACGGATTAGAATAGCCTATCGTGTCGCTGAGTCATTGCTTTCATCTCGTTTACCGAGTAAGGTGAACTTGTAATAAGATTCAAGCATTTGAGCTGACGAGCCATACCAAGTATATTTCCATTCATTTCGTTTGTCAATGATGCCTATAGAAGTGAAATGTACACTGAAGACTTCATTTTTAAGCATTTCGATGTAGTGCATTTCAACAGATTTTAATTAAGAATGCAAATAAACTGGGAGTTACACTGGCTTTAAATAAGGTCCTCACTGAAAATTATACTCTAATCCGAGAATCCCAACGCCCCAAATGAGTAGAGAAAGAAGTCTTGACAAGACGTAGAAAGTGTATTCTACAAGCAACCAACAGAAATAATGAGGTTGACAAGCACACAAATCGAGGTTTAATTATACATGATAAAAACGTCCTTGGGAGAGCCACAAAAGTAGTGTACTAAAAATATCAAGGTATCAAGTGATCAGCTCATGCGCTAAAACATAAAATCCAAAATTAGGACCTTAATCAAGTGATTTCTAGGGGATCTAACGCCCCCAACAATTGCAACAGTATTATAGACAAACTCTGTGATTATTAATCAACCAAAGAAATCCAAAAAAATAGTACTCTAGTCATATGTATCATAACAGTTAATAATGACAGTATTGTATTTATTGTTGATAGGCCTATAATTGAACAATGAACATCACTAATAAAACAAATTTAAAATTAATCGATTACCAATTCAAACTATTTCGATAAACCATTATTTATGTAATCAATCTTATGTAGAATCAAATCAAAAGTTATATAAAGTAAATGGTATTGTATTCTATCATCTTCACCAAATAAAATATCACATTGTTATGTCAGAGAACGTAACACCATCACAATCATCCACTTGAGCTGTATTTGTTCGTAAAACAAACGTGGACAATTAAGAAACAGAGTAACGAGGTTTTAACGACAAAATCCAAATGCTTGGGTCCAGCATATTATATATAGTGTAAGTTATTCAGACACACAGACAGATACAACACAGAACTTTGTAAGTAGGTACATCAGTTCAAGTTGCCATACTGCATTAGCACACAGAGTGGAAACTGTCAGTTCAGATCACATAGTAGTAGAGATAGTAGAATTATGACTGGTAATGGAGAAGATTAGGGGTCGAAGATATTATTCAAGAAATATAGTTCAGTGAGATAACTTTTGGGGAGAGAAAGATAGAGATGATGATGAGGAATTCTGAAGATTAGCGTTTGAGAGAATACAAAGAATGGATGCACTTGAGCCACTACTGCAAACGATTCTGAGACGTGTCGTCCAAGGTCTCTAACCATTAGTGACTTTCATCTCACGGACCCCAACCAGGTAGTCCACACCTATCTACATGACTCAGTCCACTTGTCCTCAGTGACTTCATGCGTTTCTGCCATGTTTTGGTCTAGTCGCCCCTAACTTTCTTCCAATCTACACCTACACCACAAAACATAGCTCATTGAGGCAGTCGGTGGTTAGTCATACGTAACACATGTCCCAACCACCTCAACTGATGAAGTTTCACCACTTCATCTATTGATCTACCATCCTTATCTAGTACTCGTTTCCTAACGACGACATAATGCAAGTTATTCACTGACTACATTACTAAAAAAAAAATTGAATTAAATGATCAATTTTTTTTTAAGTAGAAAATAAAAAATGGCCGCAGTATAAGATGATTACCTAAAATAGGAACTTTGAATCAGGTTTCACATTTACAGATTTTTTTTCTAAATGATTTTGAAAAGTAGCAAAATATATTTTATGTTATTCAATAATTCAATCAATATCAATATCAATTCAATTATTGATTAATTTATTGATTTAAATTAACAAAAACAACAACAGCAACAAACTCTTACAATTCTTACTGATTTATTATTTTCCAATGAATGAAACTTTTTGAATTGATAAAAAGTTGTATTAGCCGCCCACATTTCGAATAAAATTATAATGCAACCTAATGAATTGTTTGAACTGCCTGTAAAATATTTTTTTATTTATTAGAGTTATGAAGATTAGTGTTTGTTGCGTATATTGTACTCACTAGTGACTAGCTCTTCGTGAGTAAATTCTATGAGATCTAATGAGAAGACACTATCAGTGTAGTTTAACTCTGTTGGGTGTAACTATCAAAGACACATAGGGGTGAGGTCGCACAAAATCTCTAGATTGATCAGAGAATAGACATTAACATCGATGAATGCAAGCCCAGTGGTTTAGAGGTTAAGCGTTCATGTGCTTAACCAAAGGTCCTGGGTTGGTATCCTGCAAGTAGCAGGAGTTGTGAATGCGTACTGCTGATGACTCATATACCTGGTGGTCTAACAATGATTGATTGATGATTTAAATGTAAAATATTTATCGATTATTGATTTATTTAAATATTAAATGAATGGGATTGATTGCATTGAATATTGATTGAATTTAATCCTCTACCTGTGGATAATTTTCAGATACTGTTGTAACTAAAGTTTTTTTATACAAGCTTTTTTTCTATAATACATATCGATAAGTAACTCAACAATCTCCATAAACCTCTAATAAAAAAATTGCCATGTGTTCGCTAGTGACTGGCTCTGTGATGAAATTCTCGGAGTTGTAGTGAGAAGCTGTGACGAGTGGAGTTCACCCTTATTCGGATGTAAAAAACAATGTTCACCGAAGACGGTAGATGAGGTTTCACTAGACTATGGACTAATTTAAGTTAAAAACAGAAAGTGGACCAATGTAATATCGAAACATTAAATTGATGACTCATAGATGATGAATGTGTTTCATACGGCAAACTTCACTTCATTTCATAATGCTGTGAATACTGTGAATAAATCTCATTGGTTAATTGATATGTTCTCATTTTAACCAATGAGCGTCATGCATCTATTTGCTTTCGTTTAATGTTGATTTCATATATATATATATATATATATATATATATATATATATATATATATATATATATATATATATATATATACAACAGGTTGTGTATTTAATTACGTCATACATATAGAATGAAACTTCCTACATTTACCTCTCTAGTGTTCTATCTCACAATGAGGCATTCAAATACCAGAAAAGAAACAATGATTCTGACGAATTGTATTTGCCAGATTATTCCAAAATAATGACAGCAAAAGGTTTCAGTGTTTTTTTTTAGAAAAATAACATGCAGTTCAATTTTTATCACTATTACAATACATAATTCAATCTCATCTTAAAAAATGTTAACATGAAATTGTTAACTAGTGTTAATTTTCTGAAATGAAAAGATTTTTTTTTATCATAAAAGACTATTTGAGTTGACTAAAATAATCGAGATCAAGTTTCATATAGAAAGCTTCAAAAAAACAACAATTCTGTAGGTTAGTTTTGTTTATGATCAAATTATAATATTTATCTTAATTTAAAAGTTTACATTCAAATTCTGCATAGTCATTCCTATTCTCAATGCTCTCACTTCTGAAGTGAATGATTCCTTGAAAAAGGTTCTCGTTTCAAATCATTCTATCGTGAAAAGAAAATATTGAACCATGA